AAGGAAGTGATTGTTGTCGAATTTCAAGGGCTTTTTCATAAGATGAAAGTGCTTTTGGATAATCACTCATTTCTGCATACACCATACCAATGTTGTTATAGGAAGCACCCAAATCAGGGTGATTGGAAGGAAGTGATTGTTGTCGAATTGCAAGGGCTTTTTCATAATAAGAAAGTGCTTTTGGATAATCACCCATGTTTCTATATATAATACCGATATTGTTATAGGGATTAGCCAAATTAAGATGATTGGAAGGAAGTGTTTTCTGATAGATAGCAAGTGATCTTTCATAATATGTAAGTGCTTGTGGATATTCTCCTTGGCCATATTTAATCATACCTAGTTGATGATAAATAGGTGCCTTGCCACTTTCATCCGTTGTTTGATGAAGTAAAATTTCATAAACTTCTTGAGCCTTAGTAAATTGACCCATTTTTAATAGCAATTGTCCTAATCTCGCCCATTCTTGTTGGTCTGGAAAGGTCTCTTCTCGAATCTGATCAGTAAGAGCACGAAGATCTTGATCATTGTCATTGGTCAATGATAAATTCACTTTATAGAGCTGATTATTTCCACCCATTGGTTTAATATCTCCAATACGGAAAATCGTATGCATAGAGAAGAGAAATTCGTCTTCTGTATGAAAATAACTAACATCACTAACAGAAGCAAATGGAGTTGTTGAATCCTTAGGATTAATTGACATAACAAACAGAATTCCAATAAGATCAGGATTTGTAACAGCTTGTTGTGCAAAGTTAAGAGAAACATTACGATTTTTACTAGTTGATAAGAAGTTATTAAATGAAACAAGTCCACCTTTAGTTTTTGTCATTTCGATGAAATCTTCTTTTGAAAGACCTTGACCACGATAAACTGTAAATGTTGTACCCGATTGGTCACCGTCAAATTGTTCAGAATGTAGTCGTTGAATATCACAATGGAGATCCTTGATAAAGAAACCCATTCGAACAATAATATCAACATCCATTGATCTTAATGCTTGATTGAGCATACGATACAAAAATGCATCCCATGTATACCACCATATTGGTATCTTGTTTTTGTATGTAGTTTGTAGTTGATGAACATTTTTTAATTCATTCTCATCATCTTCATATACATCATGACAATAACTAATAAATTCTTTGAAATGTTTGTCTTCGAAGGTGATAGTTAATAAGATCTCTTTCAAGATCTGAGTATACATGAATGATGGATCTAATTGATCTAGTTTCTTGTTTGATGCCACAAAGCTGATTGATGTGGCATTTTGTTCACATTGGTGAGCAGCTGGTTTGAGAGCTTCACAAATTGATGTTATGTCTGTGAAGACTCCTTTTATTTTAGGCCATTCTTTGGCCCATTGTTTATGCCATTGTTGATTGTTACAAAATACAAAAATGGTGTCTACTTGTGACATATCATGTACATGAGGCACAATATGTTTTCCAAGTGACCCCGAGATGATCATACATACTTTGTTGTTGTTAATGGTTTGAATAAACTCAACACATTCTTCACCATCTATAAACGTGTTTATGTTGTTAACAACACGTTTTAATTGTTTGATTGTATTATTACAATCAGCATTATGTTCATTAATATTGTTGTCTAACCAAATGAGGAGAACATTTTGCATTCTTTGCATGTTCATCCGCCGACTTGCAACTGCATCCTTGTAAAAATTTGATACGTGTTTAGCATTAGCTTGTACATTGGTTTGAACAGATGTTATTGATTTGTTGTTCGCCATTGTTTGTTGTAATGTAGACTATTTCAAGAAGAAATGTTTATAAATGAATGAGAATAATGTGTCATTTTATAGTATAAGAATTTTCTTTCGAGATTGTTCTTTTTATCATCATTTTCATTGTTTTCTCTGTTATCAGTATTTCACTTGGTTTTTTCATGTTTGTTAAATATATGTCACAAAATATTACAGGTGCTATCAGAGATATTTATCAGTTACAGATAAACGAAAAGGACGTTAAAGTATGGTCATTGTTAACAATTGAAAAAAGTAATCTGTGAGAAAATATTTGTCCTTACAAAAAATCTCTAAAGAAAATTTTATTATTTTTCAGTCGTTATTGCAGATTGATGAAAGTTTACAATTATTATTAGCTCCAAACGAATGATTACTGAATAATATTAAAAAAATATCAGAATAGTAATAAAAATTTTAAAAAAGATTTTCTGTCGGAACGAAATGAGGAAAAAGATTAAGACCATTTCTATCAAGCAGAAAAAGAAGTATTTAGTTATTATATGCATTGTCGATTGTTCTTTTTTCATCTTCTTTTTATTTTCAGGAGTCAACGACGACGTGTGTGCATATTCTGTAACTTATATAATGTTATCAAAAATATGAAAGATCAACAAAATAGATACATTTAGGTAAATCAAAAGAAAAATACCAGTCTTGATATATCTTTAAAATGAATAAAAGTCATAAAAAAATCTTCTTTTATATGTTATTTGTTTCCATACTAATCATTTGTTTGAAATATATAAATCAACTATAATGCAATCATTTAATTGACCATTCTCATCTCTAATCAGTGTATGTTTCTGTATTTTAAACAACATAATACTGTTGTTTATAAATGTTGAACATATCGTTCTATTTGTATTAGAAATTCTTTGTTAGTACTTGCATGCATTAGAATTTTTACAGCGTTAGAAAACAATGAGATTATATTTTCATTCTGTTATCTAAACTTCAGATAGCTCTAATGAATATTAATCGTTATTTACTGTGTATAAACTCTACTTGTCAATGTCTATCTCGCACATGTTTTGATAGATTTAGATATCGTAGTCAAAATTTAATTGAAGGTCTATATGAAAATACAACAGATTGTCAAAACAGTCTTAATCGAACTTGTTTACTATGAAAGTAGTGCTAATGTAAGTTCTATTATAAAAATATATTTAAGTTGTTTTATTTATTCATTGCTTGTTAGTGAAGATATAAATGTGCGGGTGATTTAATTGGTATAGTTCTTATTGGAATGAAAGTTACAGGTAATAAACATATATCGAATATCTATGTTAATAGAAATATAGTTATGTCTCTGAAATAGAACATTATTGAGTGAAAAAATGTACCTCAAACGTTAATATTAGTACGGTCATTGCTCACACAGAGATATCCGGTATCGACAGCCAATATTTTAATTATCCTTTTGAATTCTATCCTGATGAGTTACATTCATATTTATACGTTGCAGATTGTTATAAAAATCTTATTCAAAGATTTACACTTCGAGTTTCGATCAATGAAAACATTGTAGGAGGTTGAATTGATTCGAGATTCAACGATAAACAATTATATCAACCACAGTTTGCATTGTTGATACATACAATAATCGGATCACGTATTAACATCCTAGTGCAATGAGTAGAGCTACACTCGTTGGTATCTCAGGAATGATTGAAATAGATGCAGGCTTATTATATGTTTCTATTGATGTAAATTTAAGCAAAGCTGATACACATCTATATGTCAGTGATTTAAATAAGCATTATAGCGAACCATTCGAAATTATTCAAAATATTTATGCTAAGATTGTACCATACTTTACACATCAAATTAACATTTCCTTTATAAATAAACTATTATATTCTAATCTTTTGAAAATACAGAATCAACCTACGTTTTTATCGCAATTAACACTTCTCTATTCATTGATTTTGAAATAATATTCATTTTCCAGAAGAATATAATAATTAATGCATAACAAGAGATAATTTGCGTGGTATAATCTATTGAAAAATAATCAAGATTTCTTCAATTTATTATACTATACAAATTATTTTTCTTCTAATTTCATACAATAAAATATTAATTACAACTAACTATTTCTTGTAAATATATATTAAATGGTCAAACATCGCTGAATTTGTTCTACATATATGTGTAATCTCAAAAACAAACGTTTTTAACCATGATTTTCAGAGTTGCTTGACTCTGTCCATTTTTAATATACGAATTCTTCATATAATCCATACCACAAACATATCTCATATGTCGAAGCAGTCTGATATAAATTTAGATCAACTTTAACTGGCGAAGATCATGATAATATATACCTTTCTACATGAACCTCATATTTTCAGAGAGCGTGGAAAAGGTCAAGATACATCACCTAAACGAAATTTCTAGCTCATCTATTTAATAAAAGAAATAGTGACTAAAACATCACCGCGTTATGCTCGTAAAAACTAATATATTTAGAAATAAATAAGTATATATTTTCTTTTTCAAAATCTTAACAATGAGAAAAACGCGCACACATTAGTACTTGAAACAAGAACAAACGACCATGAATAAGTGAAAAGAGACAGAAGAAGAAGAAAAAAAACTAGAAAACAAATATAATTAAACTGAAACAATAATAACAATCAAAAAGCAAGACACAGGAGAGAGGAAACAACAGTGAAAATAATCGTTTTTTGTTTGTTTAGGAAATGCATTGTAAGAAAACAAATATTGAGAAACTCATCGATTGATAGTAATATCTTGAACAAGACCACTGATAACTAAAAAAGAAAACGAAAGAAAAATTCATAAAAATTGAAATTAATTCTTTATATAAAAGTCAGTAAAACATTCATTTTTGTTAGAAAAAAAAGTGTCAAATGTTCGATTTAAAGTTTTTAAAAATCGAGAACAGAGCAAAAACATTCAAGATTAAAAATAAATATCTAAGATGTATACGCATTATTCTCTTTTATCTGCATCTCAAGATCTGATACTATAGATTTATTCATTTATTAATCAGTATAAAGCACTCGATTTATAATGCAAAAAATATAAACCCACATGATTCTATCAACGGCTAGTACAACGATGACGTTGAAAAAGTTTCTTAAAAATATTTCCTGTAGATAAAAAATTACACTTTCTATTTAACTATCAGACTAGAATATTTTTAATACCTGGACTTTTTGGTTTGTTCAATTGTTGTCTACTAAGTGTCGATGATTTAACATTTTTTGATGAGTTTGATGGAATATCACTTATATCCATTGCTTCAGTTGTTGCACAAGGTCGATAATCATTAGAATCATACATTTTATGATTCAATCTTTTATTTTAAAAATAGAAATTCATCATGAAAAATTTAATAAACATACGTATGAGAAGTTAATTCTGATGAAACCATTTTTTTTGGAGATCGACATCCATTATTATTAAAATTTGGTCGAATCATATCTGCTATTATTGATGGAGCAACATATGTAAAACCCTATCGAATTGATATAAATATATATAAAATTTTGATTTTAATAATATTTACAAGAAAAACTTGATTTGCACTTTCACTTAAAATATTATCATCCGGCGAATCAACAGGTGTTTGTTTAGTAAATTTTGTATCAAATTGACTAACATCATCATCACCTTTCAAAATTGGTCTATGTGGTGGTTCATATCGTTTTGCATAAACATCATCCCAATTTAAATGACGAAAAAATGGATGATTCTAGAAATAAAATAAACATTGATTTATTAGCGACGTGACCTCATAAAATTGAAACATGCATATCTTAGGAATGGAGAACGTTTTTATAACTAACATTTATATGTTATAAGTATGTCAAGTTACTCTAGGTATCGTAAAAGAGCCAGTTTTCAAGGTCTTTTTTAAGAAAATGTATCACTAGGAAAACTAATATACCATTTGTAAATAATTTAAACGCATTTAAATTATTGCTCGAAGTATTTTCGATTCACATACAATTCAATTTACTTTTCGTTGGCGACGCGACAAAGTACAAATATACCGAAGGGATCTTTGAAGGTCGCGTTTTTATAGGAAATTTTTTATCATAGATATGATTAATTAGTTTTAACTAAACAGTAGATGGAAGCGCCAACATTTCTACGCATGTCTATGCTAAGAGAAAAATTATTACCTTAATTGCTAGAGCATCTTCCAATCCACTTCCAAGTCGATGACTGACTTGTCGACGAAGTAACTAAAACAAAAAAGTGCAAAATAATCTTTAATAAAATTAGTTCATCATGTTGTTCGATTATCGCACGATAAACAATATAAGTAATATGTATCATCTCAGATCGGACTATATCTAATTTTCGCTTGTTTAGATTTCTTATTTCATTTCTTTGAATAATAATTGATTATTTTTCTTAACAAGCAAATAATTATACTTACATTTCGAATTAGTTCTCTTGCTTCAATATTTAAATATGCTGGTAAAATCAACTTGGCTTTTATGATTTTGTCCATAGTTCGTTTACGATCATCGGATGTAAATGGCGGCTAAATTAAATTAAATAATACTTCTGCAAAGAAAAACAAAAATTCAATAACGTACAGCACCCGTTAACATATCGTACATCAATGCACCGAATGACCACCTTCATAATAAATGTAAGATTAGATATGATTTTTTTATTTGAATTCAATACAAACCAATCTACAGCTTTGCCATGACCACTACGAGTTAAAATTTCTGGTGCCATATATTCAATTGTACCACAAAATGTATTGGTTTGTCCACCTTCGTAGATCGATTCTTTACATAGACCAAAATCAGTTAATTTAACATGACCTAAATAAAATCATAAGATGAAATATTTAGAGAATAGAAGAATTTATAAATACCCTGAGCATCAAGAAGAATATTTTCTGGTTTAAGATCTTAAATAGGAAGAAAATTCTGGTAAACATATATGTATTTCAAAAATTTTCACCTCTAAAAATCAAAATATGAATTTATAAACATAAAAAATATTAATCGAAAAAAACAGACCTGTAAATAATTCCTTGTTTATGTAAATGTTCAATTCCGAGTAATATTTCAGATAGATAAAAACTAGAAAAAAAAAACAATCGAGAATTAATCAAAGATCGTTTTACGTAATTGTAAAATATAAAGTAGAGCTATTTATGGATTAAAAGTGCATTCGCACGATATGCATTCTTACGTGCCATCGAGAAAGAATAGATATCAATTGTACTGTATGTTCGTAGGCGTAAAACAGCTGATTCTTCCTTTACATAACAGAATATGAAAGATAAACATATATGTTCCCACAAAAAAGAAATTATAAGCAAAGAATGACAATTTATTACGTATATCACATTCGTGATAGATTTTCTTACCAAGCTATGTCATCTGAAAATATTCCTTCACGTTCTAATTGCATAAATAATTCTCCACCTGATAAATATTCTAAGATTAAATATAATTTTCCACCTGTTTGAAATGCATACACAAGGTCAACAATAAATGGACACTAACAACAAAATATTATTAATATTTCAAAGGAAAATCTTCTAAATTACTTTAACACATTCGAGAATATTTCTTTCTGCTTTTGTATGTGCAGTATCTTTTGCATTTCGAACAATTCTATATAAATATACAAAAGGAAATGAATGATAATTTCTTGAATTAATCATACTTGGCTTTCTTAAGAACTTTCATCGCAAATATTTCATTTTGATGACTACCAAATAATTTTCGTACTTGAAAAACTTTTCCATATCCACCTTTACCTAATACTTTTAATAATTGAAAATCATGTGGTGAGATTCGTTCTCCTCGTGGATTGACTGTTCGTTCAGTTATTTGTACTGTTTCAATATCACTAGAAAGAAAAAGAATTCGATTTTATATAAAACAAAATCAAAAAAAAAGATTCTACTCTGTTTGTAATAGATCAGCACCAGTATCATTATCAATAAAACGATTATCATCATCGTCATCATCATCGTCACCATCATTGTTAATTAATGGATGACGATGTCCATCCATTTCTATTGTAAATAGTGGTTCATCTGCCATTGTTTTAGTAATTTTAATAAAAGACAAAAGAAAATCAGCTTTATATATGTATATTTTTCAATGCATATTTTTGAGATTTGGTATTTAATGCCTGGATCTAAAGACGAAGAAGACAAAAGATAATGGAATTATTTTATATTGGCTTAATGTTTAATCAATCATATGTCAGATGTCAATTTTCTCTATATGAGAAATGTTTTCACGCGTTGCCATGACATTTGTATTCAAAATGGTAGAATAGTTTTTTTTTGTTTTTATTAGAATAAAAAAAAATTAATATAGGTTCTGTTTAAATACAAGGATAAATCGAAGTAAATACCGACTTTTTTAAACATTATATAATTCGAGATCTAATATTTTAATATTTACTATGTTACTTAGCAACTATAGTTTTTAGTCAATGCTTATGTAGTCTCGTGTACGAGATTAATAAGTAATATTTATCAAAAATTCGGAATTAATGTTATTTATGTAATAACCGTATGAGTTCGTATTTTAAGAATACTTTTACGTAAACTTACTTTTGATCAGTATGAAAGAATAAACCATAGATTAAACGATTTCATGATACTTAAGATTAGTCATTCATGTTCATCACGATATGAACAGAAATCTTTAAATCAGTAGACTTAATGATATTTATAGAAGCATCTAACGATTATAACTTTTAGTGATATTTTATTCGTTCTATCTCTCTGTGTACGTTATTGAATGAAAAGAAGATTTTCATTGTGAATAACACGGACTGTCAAGGGAGAAAAAAGACTTCGCTATAGAATGCCTCACGTAATGATAATTTCATTTTTTATAGTGTATTACGAAATATTCCAGGAATCAAATGATTTTTATTTCTAAAATTTCTAGATGTATGATCAAGCACCACGTACATTACATCAAACACTAGGATCTACATTAGATCATGTTGGTCCTGGTTCATATGATCATCGGCGAAAGAAAGCAAATGACGGTGAAAATTTCTAAAATATTCTCTTAATAATATATATATTTTTGTTAAAATATTAATAGAAGGTTATGCTCCATTTTTATCACTTGCAAATCGTGGACAAATATTTTCAAATGATGAAAATCCTGGTCCTGGTCATTATGATTTACGAAATTCAAATGTAATCACAGTTAAAGTAAGAATCATATTGTTTCTTGTTCTTTTTTTTTTTAGAATTAAAAATTTAACGAGTATATTTTAACTCTTGAGTTTTGTACTGACAAATAAAACATAGTGTAAAGAGTCTGTTGTGTCGATTATATGTTATTCAAATACTTGTCTGGCAAAAAAAGCTTTTAGTGTAATCATCTATTTTTTAGATGATGTTCAGATATAGAGTACACTTCAATATACCGTTTTTTAATGGATCTTCTTCTTCTTTTATTTTTGTAAAAGACAAAAAAATTCTTTTATTTTTTATTCGAAATCGCATAAGCGTTCAACTGCTTGTTTTCGAACTTTTGTACGTTTTTCTTCATTGATATTCGGATGAACATCATTGAGCATTTCATCCGTTATTGCATAAGTTAAAGCAGGGCAATCAATAAATGGTAAAAATAAATCGGGTGATTGATACATATTAAAATATTTTTCGGTAAATCTTTCTAATTCATTATGTTGTTCAGGTGTCCAGTTAGCATAATCATTTTCTGTATTAATAAATTTCTCAGAAAATAAATCTTTATCATCATTAGTAACATGTGTACTTTCAAGTAACATTGTTTTTAAAAATGGTAAATTCCATTCGATTTTATAATGTGGAATTTGTGTTGGTGTATATGCCACAGTAAATAATAATTTTAATGGATTAAGACGACGTAGTATATTTGCTTTTGGTTTGATGAATACTGCTGTTGAAGGAGATAATTGTTCATGAAGATTATGTGGATTTGCTTGAATGAATAATATAAGAAAGGATAATATTGACAAAATAAAAATAATTGATTTGAGCATTATTATTTTTTCTTATATAATACGATTGTGAAATATACACAAAAAGTTTTGTTTTATGTGTTTGCTGACACTCGTTATATTGAGAATGTTTGAAAAGGGAATGAACGTGAGTTGTTCTCTGAAATCTTTTTGATGAAGAAAGAAAATGATAGAAGACGAAGAAAAAGAAGAAAAAAAGAAGAAATAAGAGAATATTATTTACTTATTTCTATCTATATTTTTTTTCAAAAAGAACATAATATATAAATTATGATTAGATAGAAAATTATCTGACAATATATACATCTAAATCGGATATCCGTTGAATGTTTTATTTAACATTGATTCATATAAGATAAAGATTAATTAAGAAATATATTATCATTTTTGTTGCTAATAATTTAACGTCTCAGTTCATCTGACATATCTTTCGAGGACGAATGTGTAGGAATATAGAAACATTCAGAACGTAATTCTATAAAAGAAAAGTACAATCGGATACTTTAATTAACATAAAGATGAATAAAAATTAATTTTATTTATTTTTCTTTAATCCAGACTATTATTCAATGAATAATCTTAGACGGTAATAAAACTCAAACATGATTCCGCTACTTCTTGCTATAGCTTTTTTTGATTATTTCTGTTACAAAATAATAATTTGTATATCATTGAATTGTATGTATTGATTTTTTTCTTTGTATTATAGGGAGGAAGTACATTAGGGAATAAAGCTAGTCGTTTTAGTTCAAAAGGATCCGAAGAAACACCAGGTATATATTTAAAGTTTTGAAGAAAAATATACTTTATAATTTTCTAGGACCTGGCGCATATGAACTTCGTAAAAGTCAATCAGCACGTGTAACTGCTACTGATATTAATAGAGTAAGCTCCTCTTCTTTTCTGTATAATTCAATTTATATGTATGTTTTTTATTTTAATAGCAACCACAGCCACGTCCAAATTTACCTAAATATGAGCGTAAAGCTCTTCCACCATCGATTCCTGATCCCAAATTTGCTTATGGTTTCGAAGAAGATACTGCAGGAATACTTGTACCACAAAAACCACCAACTAGAGATGGTTCTATAGGTCCAGCTTTTTATAATCCACCGCCTACTGTTCGTTAGATTTTTATAACAACCAAAAAAAATATATATATGTTATTATTAATAGGTAGAAGTTGATGCAACAAAACTTTATCATGGTGTTCATTTTGGTAAATATTCTAGTAAACGTACAGATTTTGCTGGTAAAACAGGACCTGGCCCAGGTGAATATGATCCTAATGAACCAATTAGACTTGAAATTCATCATATGAATATGAAAACAACGGAGAGAAAACATGAATTACAAGTTGCAAGATATCCTGAGAGTGTAGTCAAAACAGCTACTAAAGAAGTATTTATATTTATGAAAAAAAACAATCAATATTGATTTATCTATCTACTTATTTATTTATTAGAGTATTCCGGGACCAGGTCAATATACAATTAAACGTGAGCTCGATCCAGAACCAGCAAAAAATGATATAATTGGACTTGACTTTGAACGACCACCATTTGGTTCACAAACTAAAGTAAAATCGTTTTTTTCTATTATAAAAATTGAAATATTTTCTTATTCTTTCTAGAGATTTGATAATACTACATCTGATGTACCTGGTCCAGCAACATATACAGATAAAGTCATGACTGCATTCAATAGCACTCAATCAAAACCAACAAGTCTTAAACGAAATCCATTTAACCAAACATCAGCAAGATTTGTTAATATTGATTATAAAGTTAGAAGTGCTCCTGGTCCTGCTCAATATCGTATTTCAGGTTTTACTGATGAAAACTTACGAAAAGCAGTTGTTGATGGTGGTAAAAAACCACCATTCAATGTCGCTTCTGTTAGAGGATTAACTATGATACGTAAAGATGAATATAATAAACCTGGTAAAACAATAATTTCATATTTAATTATAATAATTTAAATATTTATTTTTTGTTTAGGTCCAAGCAGTTATGATATTAAAACAACACCATTTAAATCAAAAATTGAACAACAAACAGCAAATTTTTCTTCGACTACAACTCGAGAACTTGTTGTTGAAGTAAATAAATATTATTGATAATGATTTCTTTTTAATTACTTTTCTTTTTTTTTACAAAGGATATTCCGGGACCAACAGCTTATGATGTAACACGTGCTTATCATGCACTAACATCTTCTCATAGACAACCACCACGTTCGAAAAATGCACGTAAAAGACATGCTCAATTTTTAAGTGCAGCTAAACGAACATTTGCTGGTGATGCATTTAACGATACACCTGGTCCAGGCGCATACGATGGTTATGTTAATGAAAATGCACCACGTGGTATTGCACCTACACGTGATGTTCGTTTTCGTTATGAGACTTCAAAATTACCAGGTCCTGCAGATTATGAAGTAAGAACAAAATGAACTAACAAAATTCAATGAATATATTTTTTCTTTTGTTTAGTTATCACCACTTCTTCAAGATACTGTTCTTCGTGGTACGTTTAATACAACATTGAATAATCCAGTTTTAGCAAAACTACAAAATCGCGCTTTACGTGAAGATAAAATATCTACATCACTTGATCAACCCATAGTTGGTAATGGAAATAATGAAGAAGTGACTGTTCATGCTTAATAACTATAAGGACAAATGAGCATATGCGTTTTTCTTTTATTTTATTATTATCATTTTTTCTTTGTGTATACATTTAATGAGTGAAAGAAATTTGATGAAACATAGTCAACACAGATTGTTTATCTTTAACCATATTCATTCGAAAATCAAATAAATATTTAGATTTAGTTGTAATGTTTTTCTAGAATATCACTAAACATAATATTCATATTGAAAAGTTATTGTATGTAAGAAATAAAAACTTGATGATTATAACGAACAAAAGACATGTCTCAACCATGAAATATCATGAACTATTTATATCTACGCTTCCCTAACAGAATATATAAACAATTACTGGCCATATTGTGTTCTCAACAAGAACAGAGTTTTAATAGAGACACATTTTCTTTTTCACTGGTTTTATTTTACTTTCAAAAAAAGTACAGAAGGCAATTATAATTTCTTTTTCATACGTTCGAGGTTTTTTCTGTACCGCTGAAGATGAGGATGATTTGCTGGTAATGATTGTTGTCCAATTTGTACAGCAAGTTCATAAAATGAATGTGCTTTTGCATAGTTGCTCATATTCTCATACACTGTACCGATTTTGTTACAGGAATCACCCAAATCAGGATGATTGAAAGGAAGTGATTGTTGTAGAATTGCAAGATCTTTCTCGAAATAACAAAGTGCTTTTGGATAATCACCCATGCTGTCATACACAAAACCGATGTTGTTATAGGAAGCACCCAAATCAGGATGATTGGGAGGAAGTGATTGTTGTCGAATTTCAAGGGCTTTTTCATAAGACGAAAGTGCCTTTGGATAATCACCCATGTTTCTAAACACAATACCGATGTTGTTATAGGGATTAGCCAAACTAAGATGATTGGAAGGAAGTGTTTTCTGATAGATATCAAGTGATTTTTTATAACATGTAAGTGCTTCTGAATATTCTCTCTGATTACGTTTGATCATACCTAGTTGATTATAAATAGGTGCTTTGTCACTCTCATTTGTTGTATGAAGAAGTAAAACTTCATACACTTCTTGAGCCTTATTAAACTGAGCCATTTTAAATAGCAATTGACCTAATCTGTACCATCCTCTCGAATTTGGAAAGGTCTCTTCCCGAATCTGATCAGTAAGAGCACGAAGATCTTGATCATTGTTGTTGGTCAATGATAAATTCACTTGATAGAGCTGATTATTTCCATTCATTGGTTTAATATCTCCAATACGAAAAATCGTATGCATAGAGAAAAGAACTTCATCTTCTGTATGAAAATAACTAACACCTGTGGCAGAAGCAAATGGAGTTGTCGAGCGCGCAGAATTAATTGACATAACAAATAGTATTCCAACAAGATCAGGATTTGTAGCAGCTTGTTGTGCAAAGTCAAGAGAAATATCACGATTTTTACTAGTTGATAGAAAGTTATTAAATGAAAGAAGTCCACCTTTAGTTTTTGTCATTTCGGTGAAATCCTCTTTCGAAAGACCTTGTCCACGATAAACTGTAAATGATGTACCTGATTGATGGCCATCAAATTGTTCAGAATATAGTCGTTGAATATCACAATGTAGATCCTTAATGAAGAAGCCCATTCGAATAATCATATCAACATCCATGTGTCTTAGTGCTTGATTGAGCATACGATATAAAAATGCATCCCATGTATACCACCATATTGGTATGTTGTTTTTGTATGTTGTTTGTAGTTGATTAACATTCTTTAATTCATTTTCATCATCACCATATACTTCACGACAATAACTAATAAATTCTTTGAAATGTTTGTCTTCGAAGTTGATGGTTAATAGGATCTCTTTCAAGATCTGAGAATACATAAATGACGGATCTAATTGATCCAACTTTTTGTTTGATGCCACAAAGCTAATTGAAATGGTATTTTGTTCACATTGGAGAGAAGCTTGTTTAAGTGCTTCACAGATTGATGTTATGTCTGTGAAAACTCCTTTTATCTTAGGCCATTCTTTAGCCCATTGTTTATGCCATTGTTGATTGTTACAAAATACAAAAATGGTGTCTAATTGAGACATATCATGTACATGAGGCATAATATGTTTTCCAAGTGAACCAGAAACAATCATACATATTTTGTTGTTTTTGATGGTTTGAATAAATGTAACACATTCTTCACCATCCGTAAACGTGTTTATGTTGTTAACTACACGTTTTAATTGTGTGATTGTATTACTACAATCAGCATTATTTTCATTAATATTGTTGTCCAACCAAATGAGGAGAACATTTTGCATTCTTTGCATGTTCATACGTCGATTTGCAGTTGCTCTCGTGGAGACCCCAGATTGTGGGTGAGTTTCTTTTGTGTCACTTGATTTGTTAGTTGTCATTGACTATGATTATCTGTTATTTGTAATGTGAATGTGTTGCATTTGGCTTGCTTGGTTAAAATTTGTGAATGAAAGAATTATGAAAGTTGATCATTTTATAAGGTCTCTATTCTTTATCTAGATTTTTTTTGTATTTTTTCGATTGGGCGACAACGCCTTTTTCGTTAACAACTGTAGATGTTATTATGAAAAACAAACGAACATCGACAAAAACATTTCTCAGTAATAAGCAGAAAACGAAAAAAAAATGGTTAAGTATTTGTGCGTTTACCAGTCACTAAAATAATCCGCGAAAAGAAATTTTACTATATATTTTGATGAAGCAAAAAAAATAACCTTCAAGAATTTTTTTTCTTTCTGTTCTTATGTTTGATGTTGTAGAAGATATAAAAGTTGGAAATAGGTATTCTGTCGAAGACATTATACTTTATAAAAATCGACAGGATAATGCTATTCAAACACAAATATCTATATTATTTTATTTCCAAGGTCCAATATATGAAGCTTGAAGAAAACTTTTCAGTTTACGTAAGTATGAAATGGTGAGTACACTAGTATATCAACCAGATATGAATCATCACATGTGCTCTTCTTACTTCATTTGTTATTAGAATTATATGATGCACAAATCGATTAGTTCAAAATAAAAGACTTTACAAACTTAAGGCATTCATCAAGATGATTTCGTCTACTATAGATCATGGCTGATACATTTGTAAACTACATGAATTTTTTTTATCAAGAATAACTATGCATTTTTTATTGAATGAAAAATGAATCGAAAATATTGACTATGGAAATTATGTCATGTTGTTGATGCTTTTTAAAAGTATAGGGATGCGATTTGAGTATATATTTATGTTATATCATTATCTAAATGTTTATAATATGCCGTTTAACTTGACTGTTTGTTCAATAGTGAAATCTTCCGTAGGCCATTTGATTAGACCGGTATATTTTAAAGTCGATATACTTTGTTCAATATCCATCGGTAACCCAGATATAGTGCCAATAAATACTGTTTTAGATTCTTTCGAATAGAAACAACCTTTGAGAAGTCGAGTTAAAGTAGTTCCACGAAATGGAATTATTTTTGATCCAGCAGATGCAGCACGTATACAATCTTGTAAACTGGATAAACTACGATTAATTGATGTAGAATCTTTTATATGATCACTATTTCCTTTATAATTTAAAGAATCTTGTTTTCCTTCATTACCAGCTAAATCAACAAAAGTAATAGTAGAAAGAATTTCACCATCCTCTAATTGATCAGCTGCTTTACGTATACGAATAAAATAAATAAGATGTGATCGAGATGATTCTGAATTACGAGCTGTTGCTTGTGTTCGTCTGATGTTTTTAGCTGCTTTGATATAGGCATCCATTTGAGTGCTATTATTACATGGATGCTCTTTTGCACCTCGAAGATGTACTGTTCCTTCAGCATCATCTCTAAAACAGACAAGAGCACCATTGTTATAAAGATCGCATACATTATCTTTTGAAACGATAAATCCTTTTGTACCAGCAACGATTTCAATAGCAGAAATTCCAAGACGTATATCACAATGCGAATTTTCAATAAAAGTAAATACATCATGTGCAAATAATTGTGTAATTCCATTGATTGTATATGATTTTCCTGTTCCAGTTTTCCCATATAAAAATACAGTAGAATCAACTGGTAATCTATCTCTTTGAGGAATTGAATGTATAATTGTCTTCTGAACAACATTATATACATCTTGATTGCTGGAATGTTTTCCAAAAATATTATCGAAATGAAAAGTTACGTGTTTCATTTCCAATTTATTTAAATGTAAATTTCCAACATGTACAGTTACTGTTTCATTAGTTGTACTAACACAATCGTATATATCATTCCGTAGAGTTTCTTCTTCGAAAAATGGTCGAATACGTGCACAAATGGTAAATCGATCGGAAGTATCAGCATGAGGTAGAACATGAATCGGTAGTAAAAAACGTGAAATAGCATTTGTAAATATATCACTGTAGGTACTTCTGATTCGTGCTTTGCTAAATGCCGATGATGATGGTTCAGGATCTCTTTTCGCTCGAGAACTGGATGAGATTCTTCGAATACTTCCTTGAGAGACTTTTGGCCGTTGGCCATGCGTTTGATTTCTCTAAAATATTGTAAACTTAATTTTTTATTTTTCAAAATGATTTTCAATCAAATGATATACTCTGTTAGTTTATACATGAAGAATAAACCTTGAATCGCAAAGATTTATTAGATTCTTCTCATTTTATATGAAACAGAAAAACAGCATACTATTAGATGCACTATTTACAATAGATATATAATATACTGGATACGTCGCATTCTCAAGCGTAGTTAGTATACTCTCTCTATCATTATATACCTGTACGTTGATTACTTTTTAATAGATAGTGTTTTCAGTAAGTATAACGTATTTATTCTTAAATACTGCTTGTAATGTTTTAGCATCACTTTTCTATTAAGGATATCATTCGTTCCTGTTCTATATGTTGCTGCACATGAATTCTATTGATATATTTTTAATAATGGAACATATAGAAAACAAATCTTTCAGTACAGTATTGATGTAAATAACTAAACTATGACATATGACAAAACGATCGTGATAATAAATCAGAATCTTCAGTTTTTCTTGAACAATATTTTTAATAAAAGGAAGACAAGCTCTAAATCAGTGATCTAATTCATAGTTTGAGATTTATCTTTAAATTATATCCAATATTATGTCAAAGATACGAAATAATATAAATATTCATTGAAAGGGTTTCGACACAAAATAAAATCAATTTTAAAATCTTTATAATCACTTACCATTCCGTGCGGTAAATTCATTGGAGTGATCGAATGATTAGAATATTCAGATTGATCTGTTGCAGTAGTTAACAAAATCTTTGAATTCTCTTCTGCAAATCCTACTATAATAAGAATACAAAACAAAAGTATATTAAATATTGAATTACTTCTTCTAGTAAAAAAAGATATGATTGTAAATGTTTTATCAAAAAAGATTATTGAATCACGAGATTTCAAATGAATACAGTGAGTATAGTTATCACAAAGCTTATAAACGCATGAATTCAATTTAATATTTAATCTGTGACATTAGAAAAAACAAATGTTGTAATTTGTTCTTGAAAAGTACAAAAAAAAACATTTAAGTGCTTCCGTCGTTTAACTACTCTACACACAAAATAATGTGCTATTCAATCCAGCTTGAATCATTTTCTATTGCTCTGTTGTCTTTTATAGAAAGTGATTCATACTCACTGAATGACTCATTTTTAAAACTTTGAAAGCAATTGACGATTTTCATAACTTGCAAAGCTACATAACTACCGGCTTTTGATTTTTCAATTATAAATTATATATGATTTCACTTAGTTCAATACCAAAAATGTTTAATACATCTAATGTATCTTATGCTGTCTCGATCGGATTAATGATGCAGTTATGTAAAAAATTAAACTTACTCAGTTCTATTATTAAATAATATGTCGAAATAAACTTTGAAAGACACTAAGTCACTGGCTATTTATCAAAAATAATACCAAACAATCTTCACTAACTATTTAAGATGTACTTAACTTTCTTTTCTTTCTATTCTGCCATGCATTTAAATGATTTTCTAATAAACATCTCTACTGCATAGTAACTATTATGGTAGTTTAATAATACAAACGACATCTAGTTTTGAGAATAATACTGAAACTTTACTTCGTTTGTACAGTTAACCATAATAGTAATAAATTTTTGTTCATAACATTAATTCTTCTCTATCTTTTTTAATTCTTTGTCGCTATACATTTTATATAAAAATAAATATTGTGATGTGATACATACCATTGTATTTTACTCACACTCTATCACAAAAATATAGGCTAATAAAAAAATAACTATTTTAGAAAATATTATCAGATGAAGTAAAAGTCATTGTATGTAAGAAATAAAAACTTGATGATTACAGTGAACAAAAGACATGTCTTAACCTTTCGAAATAAAATCATATTTGTTATGTATATGTTCGTTTCAAACAAGAAAACATCGAGCAAGATGAAAATCAAATAATTTTATTTTATGTTTCATTCTGTTTTTTTATTTATTTGTATATATTATGTCTTTGCAAATGCGAATAAATTCACACATACACATAAATGTATTACATTACTTGATGTAAATTACATAAAGAAACGTGAAAATAATCGAATTAAACAAAAAAACATAAAGAAAAAAATAATAAGAAAACAAATATCTTTGATCATAAATATATGACTAGGTTCTATTTCGTACTTATTTTTGTGTAAATAAAATAGAAAGAAAACGAAAATTTATCTGACTAATTTGTTTGATATATATGAAAAAAGAATATTTTTAATTAAGCCATTCTGATGGTGGTGGCGGTAAATTTGATGATGGCGGAGGTAATGAACATTTTCCATTTGTTCCTGGAGAATATACATCGGGTACACAAAAGGATAACAATGGTGAACGATGAAATGTACCAGCTGAATTATCTATAAAGAAATATTCTTTTAAAACACTTTGACTAGATAAAGAAATCTCGAATAATTCCTTCCGTTTCTGAAATGTACTCAAAAATAAACCTGTTAATATTCAAGATTGATAACTTAGTAAGTGATAAGTGTCAGTGTCGATCATATAGCTATGTTACAGTGGCGGGTTTGGGGGGGGGGGTGATCACCCCTATCGCCGCCCCGCCCCTTCCGAATTTGTTTTTGATTTTTTACAGCAAAAATGAACGAAGAAATAGGTTTAAACTACTTCGGTTGGACTCAAAAAATAGCTTTTGATCAAAATCGCCCCTCCCCAGATATTGCCCTTCCATACTCAAAAAACAAATCGCCCCCATCCCTTCCAAAATCCTAGATCCGCCGCTGTTATGTTATTTAAAATAATTGAAAATTTGTATTATTTTACCTTTTCTAGTTTTTTGAAAAGTACATGGCGTTTGATAAACAGGCAACAAATCTTTGGTTTTATTATTATTATTATAAAATTTCGTTGACCAGAAAACGTACTGTTTAGTTTTAATCATTTGACGATTATTAAATACTGATTTTTGTTGTTGTTGTTGTTGCCGTATATAATTCATTGTTTCATAACATGAATTATTTGAATGACGTTGGATGGAATACATCTTTAAAAAGACAGATATAATTTTTTATTTAATTCCTCGTCTAATATGATAAATGTTTATAAAAATAAGTATATGAACAAAAAAAAAAAGGAATTACAAAAAAATTCATCACAGGGTCATTAACTCTTCAACAGGAGCTGTCGTCGAAGACGATGGTATCAAATTTGAAACGGCAATAGTAACTGGAATATTTGTAGAAATAATCGATGACGATGATGGAACTGATGTTGAGGATAATTTTGTATCTGTAACATTTAATGAATCTTGTATATCACTTCGAAATTGTGTTATATTTTGTGTAAAATTTTCTTTATTTGATTCTGTTAATGTACGATCAATACCTGTCATTAAATTATCTAATGCTGTGGATAATACAGCTTGTTTAACTTGAGTATGACCATATAATAATTGCTGTTTAATTTCAGTAAAAAATTTATTTTCATTCAGTAATATAAGGCCAAGAAGTGGTTTTGAAACGGTGTAAATATTTCTAAAAATAAATAAAAAATGTTCGTTTTTGTTTGTTGTAAGATAAAATAAAATGTTTCGATATTCTCTTTTTTATCTATTTTACGTACTTGCATTCTGCATATATAATGCCATTCAATAAATTTACAAGTATCTGTCTAAATAACCCTTCATATTCTTGAACATTAGCCATTAAATTTGTTGATGCGGAATTTTTCTTTACTGATCGAAAAACATAAGATAGAAATGTATCTAAATATACACAACAAGAATTTTGTATTGTTTGTTCATGTGATAGAAATCCTTCAGTTATTGTTTCAAGTACATAACCAAATAATGGTAGAGATAAATTTGCTAAGAAATCAATTTTAACAATTGATAATGTTTCAATTAATGAAAAATAAGCTGAAGTTAATTTTGGATATGATAATAAATCGGATTTTTTAATTGATGTTAAAATTGAAATAAATACTTGTAAACAATTATCAAAACATGGATCAGAATAAAGATGAAATACACCAAAATTAACATAATTACCTATAGACAGAAAAAAAACATATAATTATCATTTGAGATAAGATAATATTCAAAATGGGTGTGAGTCAGAGATGGAATCAATATCGGCAACCGGCCGGTTCGATCCGGTCCCGATCCGAACTACAGACCGGTAACTCTATCGGTTTCTTACCGCCCTATTTCTTACTAAAAACTTATTTTTGTCCGAAAACTTATCTGTACTCCCTAGAGGGATAAAATATGAACATTATTGGCAGCCAAATCCAGTATAACAACCGTTCAAGTCGGATCGAGTTATCGACCTCTACACTACTGATTTTTACCAGTCTACCAGTTTCTTGCCGGTCCACCGGTCTTTACCGGTACCAGTCGTCAAAAATCCGGACCGATTCTATCTATAGTGTGAGTATGGGTGTGGGTATTGATGTTCCGTGTTGATCTAAAAAGAATACCCGCACTCACATCCACACCCACAACAAAGAAAAACGAAATCTTTTTTTATTTTTACCAACTAAACATGTTTGAATGATTTTTAAACAAGTTGTAATTGGTTTAAGCTTAGATTTATAATATAGATTTCCATCTGATTCTGGTATTGTATTATTAACATGAACAAGTGTTTTTGTTTGAAATATATAAAGTAAATTTGATGTTTCACGAAATAATAAATAAGCACTTGCTTTAGTTGAATCAAATACTAAACGTTCTTGTCGATTTGATGATAATTCATGAAAAAATTTTAATAAAGGATTATAAACATCCATTCGATCATAGAATACATATAAAGCTTTAAGAAATAATGGTAAGTATGATGGATATAGCCAATCAAAGAATGAATTATATGCTTGCTTAGAAAGTAATGAACTACATAAACCACGAAGATCACGAGTTATACCAATAATAAGCGATTGAATTTCGTCTAATGATGCTAATGTTGGACTGAAATATAAAAAAAAGCAAAAAGTTGGATTACAATAGTTAAATCCCTATCAGAATACTTACTTGAATTGATTCATGCCTAGAAATTGTCCTGGATTTATTAATGAAAATTCTGGAAATTCTTTAAATATTTGTACTAATCTTGTACATTGAGTTGTAAATGGTTTCATAAAAGCTTCTGCACGATCATCATCATCTTCATCATAACGAAAATCGTGCATTAACATACGTCCAATAGCAGTATAAAATGTTGTTCGTAAACGTGACCAACTACTAATACTTATATTACTATTATGTGAACGTTTTGTTGTTAACATATGATGAAGAAATGGAAATAAATCTTGTGTATGATTATTTATAAAATATTGTATTGGATCAAGTTTAACTAATTTACGAACACTTTGATAACCATGTGTTAAATCACTAAAACATCCAACAGTTCGTTCAATTAATTTATCTGATATAATTGAATATTGTAAATTTGTAAAAAGTTTCTTAACAAATATTGATAATAATTGTTCTTCATCAGCAATACCTAAAATGATTATAAAAAAAAACAAAATAGACTAATCTGAATTCTATTAATGAGATAATAAATAGATATTACCGAGATGTTTAAAAAGAACTTGATAAATTTTATCTGATCTTCCATGATCTCCAACATATTGTTTTCGAAATTGTTCAAAAAAGAAAAGTACAGCTAATTCTAATCTTTCCGAATAAGGTGTTGAATCTTTTTTATCTGTTGCTATTGTTGTTATTGCTGTATTAATAGTATTTTGATTATTTTCATGTGATGTTTTTTGTTGTATATATGTCATTAATTGTAAAACACGTACAACTAATTCACCATCAAATAAATCTTGTTCATCATTTGACATTGATAATGATGATAATGTTATACCGCGTGCACCAATAACACAACCAAGAACATATATTAAAAATGTAAAACGTCTTTCAACTGTTTCAGAATTTGCTGCCTTTAAAAGAAAAAGAAAACATAAGAAAAAATTAACATAAAACATATATATATATATCTTACTTGTTGATATTGTTGTGCAATATCATCGAAACAATTACATAAAAGTACACAAGTTTTATTATAATCTAATCTTGACATGATACTAATCATATCTAATTGTTGTTGTAATATTGTTTGATCATTATCAAATAATTCTGTATAAAGTATATCATCATTATTAAGTGCATCTAAACGTGATTGAATATAATATGAAACAATTTGCGGAACATAGATATCAAGTAAATGTAATGTTGATGAATCATCAGAATCGGATAATTTTGATGAATGAGACAAAAATGCGACTATTTTTGACCAAAATGATAAAATATAATGAAGAGTATTAGGTGATAAATGATATTGACGATGATGATGTACACTTAATAAATGATCAATTGTAAAACGAAATAATCTTTCCATAAATAATGGATAATTATCAATACGAACTAATTCATGTAATTGAGCATTAGATTTTAAACGTGCAATTAAACGACAAAATTCATGTAAAGATTTTTCATCGGATAGAAGACCACCAGGTTGTTCAAGAATTGAGCGAATACCTATAATTTCAATGATTAGACATAAAGAAAATGTAAATTCGAATGTTAAGTTTGTATTCATTGATACATTCCAAAAAGAAATCTGATAGCGTCGGATATATTAGCAGATATCCCTCTAATACAAGTCTATTTTTCTCTTCAGACAAGTAAAACGAAAAATAAATTAAAAAATCTTCTCCTCTACAATTGATCATTTTGAAAATCTTTCTTACCATATGTTAATAAATTGAATACAATCAGACGTTCATTTGTATTCAATAATGATCGTCGTACACTTGATAGTTGAACAAGACATGATATCGCTATTGGTACAAGTGTTGTATTTGAAAAAAGAAAATAATATGAAAAAAATAGACGATAAAAACTTCCATCAATAATATGATCATGCCATGCAATTGGAACTTGTAATGTTAAATGTTCATCGGATATATCAACATCATGAATACTTGAACCAGTTCCTAAGAAAAAGAATTTAATGACTTCGATTTATTACTTCTTTAAATGTTTTTCGAATTATATTGGAATCATCTGTGTGTTCGATTTGATGAAAATTTTTATTTTTCTTATGTTTCGTATTTCATCTCAGTTGAATGTTAAATACAAATATGCAATCATAACTTCTTTTTTCTTTGTATCATTCATATATATATATGTATATATTTACCTAGGAAATCATATGTTAAACAAGATAATGCTAATGTAAGTAATTTTTCAACAACTATATAATAATCTGGTTGTAATTGAGCAGTATGAATTGTTTTTGGGTAATCATTTAATTCAGTTGGTAAACCTAGTGTTTTCTTTTGATTGACAATAACATCACGTAAATATTGACAAGCAAATAAATAAATATCAATTAATTTTGTATCCCGAAATGAAATACAAATTTTTCGATGTTTAGTAAATGCTCTTGCTGTTGTTTCTTCATCATTTGGTACGCTCATTTCAGATAAAATTCCTATTAAAATTTGTAAAGCAACTGAAAAATGTGATGGATCATTTTGAAATTTAAGTAAATCATCTGTAAATGTTTGAAATGGATAATTTTCATTATTGGTTGATGGATTTAAATCAAACCATGAATTTTTTGTTAAACGTGAATATAATTTAACTAACTCAGCTAATACAAATTGAGCTAATGAACTATTATGTTTATATAAATATTCAAGAATATATGTACGTAATTCATATCGTTCTGTAAATGAAACTAATGGTTGATTTGATATGGAATTAAAATGTTTTATTAATGTTGTAGCACCAAAAAATTGTGTATAAGGAGTTACAGCACGATCTAGTAATAAACGACATTGTGATAAACAATTTGTTTGATTGATAAATGTTTCAAGACGTTGAGTAGCTAAACGCATTTGTTCATTATTCCCACTACTATATAATTGACTACATAAATGTTCAATTTCAAGAGCATCCATGCATGCACTGATCTGATCTTACAGGTAATTGACACAACATACAATTCAATTCTTCTCATTCGAAAAACGAAAAAAAAAGGTATTGGATCAAAAGTGATATATTATGTTTGACAAATATAATCATAGATGATAATTTAAACAATCAAATAAAATTCTTTTTAGCTTTTAATTAGTTATTTTGTTTTTATAAAAAGATAATATTGAATTTATTTATAGTAAATACGATAGATGTCGCTAATTAACGTCTGCAAAATTTGCAGTGCCAAAGGAAATCAATAGAATTTTCTTTTTCTTTCTTAGTGATGATTATAGATTTTAGTCATAATGTAACAGACTGAAAACTAAATAGATTTTAAATATGGATGCATATCGTGTGATCAAAACATATAATTAAATGATTCTTTTCGATAAAATCTTGATTTAATAAACTTTATCTGTGTTTGATAGATCTTCTATGATCGAAACTTAGTCATTTTTATTGTATATCATTTATAATGAACTTTCTTGTGATAATCATCGTTATGTACATATTAGATAAAATATGTAAAGTGATTTATTAAGCATTTCAACAAGTTTTTGTTGATAGAGTAGTCCTGCTTGGACATGAACTGATCAGAAGATGGATGTGAGTAACATTGAACCGTTTCCAAACAACACTTACCCTTCATAATCAAAATTCGTTTTTAATATTTGAAAAACAAACTGAGAATTTACTAGTCAAAATAAATATTCAATCATTAATAGTGGAATTAATAAATTGCATAGATGCATTTTCCCTCTTAAATAGTTCAACATCTTCTCATAACTTCATTTCATTTATATAACGATTTGAATAAAGAGTCAAACCAATGAAAAGTTCTTATTTACATATACGATAGATTGTATGTGTTATCACCTTTAATAATCAATTTGAATGTATGAATACTATTTATATGTTAACATTTTATTTTGAAGACCTCGATGATTTTAATGATTTTGATCATGTAAAATTAAATAATACTCGTCTTTTTTTTATAAACAGTTACCTTGTAACACTTGAAATATTTAATGAAAAAATGAAACATCTGCTTTGTCTTTTGGAATTTACTTGATGATATACTTTTCCTTCTAGTTCGGAATTAATTATTCTGACTTCTTAATTAAGAAATTTTTTTGTTTACTACTCGAGGGAATGCAAGTCAAACAATCTTCGAAGTAAATTAGCTGAAATTTATATTTATTTGCTAAATAAATTTACAAAATACGAATTGCAATCAAAGACGCAAATTCTAAAATAAACGTAAATAATTAGTTATATTCGGGGAGGTCGTTGTAAATTTGTAGCTATAATTTTTAATTCTTCATATTAACAATTTAATTTAATTTAATTTAATTGTTATATGTTACATTTTGACGTATTGACTTTCAAACGTTTCGGAGAAAGCTTCTTGAAGATGTGGGCGGGTATGACATATAAAATATTAAATTTACATTCACCGTCTTAGCATGTGAACAAATTCATAGAGCTCGTAATACTGTTGTATATGAACTGTTTTTTATGAAATGCTTTGAATATGATGAATAGTAAGGTAGGATATATGGTTGTACTCTAGTTTTTCGATACACGCTTGCGTTAAAATCGGGTATTTCAATTTATGTTGTGTTATCAAGGTAATCAATTGATTTTCCTCCATTCATTGTATCTTTAGATTCGGATTTGATATAGTTTAAATCTTCGAAAATGTCAGCTCTGAATTAAAAGTGGTGAGTGTGGGTTGGTGCGTTTAATAAATTTTTTGACTCCTGAGGTCTAGAAAATAAAAATCATTTTTATTTTTAAATTTCATTTGTACTTACAGCACATGGTTTTTCCTTCCACTGAAGAATTTTTCCATCAACTATATTTTCTAACTATTTTTAAACTTTGTTGTTTGGCTGAATAACGACATCGATTTCTTCATTCCGTGGATTAACATTTTCTTTTTGCTTCTTCGTTTAACCTACGAGGATGGATGTGGACATTTTTGTGGCGTAACCGATGGTATATATACACCCACACTCGTCACTCAAGATGTTAATTCGAATATCAATTCTGAGAACATTGCTAAGTATCAATCTATCATAGCATAGTCATATTTAAACAATTTCATGTGATGCTTCAGAAATTTAATATGATGGAACAGAATGCTTCATTTCGTTGGGATACACCACTGAAAAGTATCATATATGTATTTATGGCACGTGTCTTGTTGTAAACATAAAAAGAAATATTTCAGTGTACACATATAAATGGGCCCTAAACTATGTATTTTGATGTTCTGTATCTTGTGCATATATTGTGTGTTCCACAGACATTTTTTCGACTGGTTGTTCTGATTCGGAAGTGTTCTTAACAAAAAAAATTCGATTTATTACAAACTAGTTCCTTATTTTTCAAGACAATTAACTGATCTTCGTAATATTCAATACAGCAGTCATTTTTATACTAAAAAATCTGAAAAATATGTATACTGTTTATATAGAAATGTTCAAAAAAATACACTGTAATGTAGAAATTTGGGTACAGTAGTACCTAGTAAGAGTCTCTTATTGAGTATGTAGATAAATAAAAATATAATATTCTCATCATAGTAAGTTTGAAGTAAGAATTATTCGCGTAAGTCAGTTAAAAGAAACCTTTTTCTCATGTACTTATTTTGTTTTTCGATTTAATTGTTATATTTCACACTTTCAATCATCTCTCATTATCATTATATTCTTCTTACTGGACTTTTCTCTACGAGAAAAAGAATAAACATACATAACATCACGATAGTAAGTAGAAACATTTGAAACGACTAAAAACCACATTTAACTTTTATCGTCAATTACTAAAGATCAGTTATTTATATAAAATAAAACAATATAACAGAAAGCAGAGGAAGAAATCTATACTTCTCCAAATTCTGTATTTCTTTTAATTTCTATCCCAGGTCTATCTAATTCGTACATAGAAAAATCTACTTTAGAAAATGTAAGTCTCCTTGAAAAAAGAATATGTTCTTATCATGAAATACTAGAACGTAGATACGAGTCAGAATAAAAAAAAGCACATACAGATAGATGAATATGTGATTTTTGGATGGAGAATATGTCAATTTATACTGAAAAATAACTGTACATCATTGAACGAGCACTATTGTCGAATTAAGATTCTTCTTTATCACAAAAACTTGATTCACAAATATTCGTAAAGAAATAATCGAATATTTTCACTTTATAAAATTAACATCCTATACATCTAATAGAACAATAAGATTATAACATGAGTTTATTACTTTATCAGTTTCTTTTTTATTATAATACTAGTTAATAAATATATATTCCGAGATGTTAGTGTGCGCAAATCAAGTAAACAAAGATAAAGCGAAATATGTTACTTCTCTAGTAAAACATTGCAGAGAAAAATACGATTTTCTTCACTATAATCACGTTATATAAGTATGTTTATAATAGCAAAGAATAATTATGTCTTTCGCTTAACGAATAAAACATACACTCCACGAGGATATTTTATACGAACATATCCATGCAAATAAAATATGATTATACTTTGCACTTGTCGAACGAAAGATAATTACCTTTCTTCATGGATAAAAGCCTAGACCTGTCTCTCTCTTACTATTACAAATAAGTTTGCATCACATTTTTTGCGTATGAAAAATAACAGCTTATTTTTATCAATACATCGTTACTTAACGCTTAATGTGCATGATGCCGAAGGACAGCTCCATATTTATATCATTCATTTTTACTACTTATATCCAAAAGTAATCAATGGCATTCAGCATACAGCATTCAATATACTTTAAAATGGTCAAATCTATATAGATTCCACCCGATTTGCCATCATCATTAACAATTGCTTTCTTAGTGTTAAAACAATTATAGATGAAAATCTTTATAACTTTTGCAACTGAATATTTATCACTGTACTAACATTCAGAAGCACCGAATTGAATTAATCCTGAAGCTGAAAATTGTTATTAATGATGTTATCTTTATTTATTTGAATAAAGTTTTGAAGATGTTTATCTGGAATGTATATTGTGCATGAATCAGTCATCCTGATTTAATATACTCGTGTCTTTCTTGGAAGTATTATAGAATAAATGTACAAACACGGCCACCCAAAGGATGTCAAAGTTAATTAATAATGAACAATACAATTTTCTTTAAATATATGCTGGAATAAAGGATAAACATAACCATTTCTGCCATAATACTACTTGGCTAATTTATTATATATAATGGCTATTACAATGCATTGTTTTCATGATAAACTCAATATAATGTGTTTAATTTATCACAGTCCTGATAAAAATGAAATTGTCAATGTTTCTTTAATGTGCCAAGAACGAACTAGCACAACACAATCTTTCTAATTAATTATATGTTACGTGCGATTATGCTTCGCGAAATAATTTTTTTCTTTGTTTAAAGTTTAACTAAATGTTTCTGCTAAATATTAACTACGATGAATCATCGATCGATTACACTAAATAAAATCTTAAACCAATATTAAAATCACTTTTTCTCATAGTTTCACATGATAACAACAAATAAATGAGGTGTTATTCTCTTTTACCTAGTTGAAAATGCTGTTGATCAGAAATATAGTTAAACGATCAATTAATATCGTTTTTTAAAAACATATCGCTATTATTTGTTCGAGATTTGATGGCAGTAAAACTACTCATGTCGACTTCTGATTTCCTTTCAAACTCTATCAGCTGACTGAAAACAAATGATTTGCAAAATAAATAATTCGATCGATATTTTCTAACTTTTGTCAATAATTAATGGAAGACATATTTCCAGCATAAGAAAACAACATATAAAAGCTGGTCTATATATTTATAAAATGAAATCGATAAAGTTCTTGTATATTTTGACTAAAAATAATAATTTTTTTTCTTTAAGTTATTCTTCTGATATTAATAATTGAAATAAGTTAATGGATCATCTAAATATAAGAAGATATAATATAATTATTTAATCAATCAATTAATGAATAGTATTATTATTACCTTCTGTAAAAACGCTAGTCGCAATATTATGTCTAATTACTTCATGTAATGCATAAAAATCATATTTATCTTGATTTTTATGACGATGAATACGTATATGAATAAATAAACCTTCACCAATCGATACTTTTAAAAAATAATTTGTACCATAAGCAACTTCTTCTTCACCATATTTTGTTACTCTAAAAATTTTAAATGAATATTTGTATATAATGAATAAGAATAAAATTTACTTCCAACTTGCGATATGTTTTTGTCGATGTTCTTCAGTAAAACGATGTATTCTATGTTCATTATGTTTTCTATAGAGAGCATCAATTGCTGAATATATAACTTCGGGACGTTCACTATTGAAATAAGCAAAAAATAAATAATTAGATTCTATAAGAATAAACTAATAAACCTTATTTTTTGAATTTCCGGTGTGGCGTCCTACAATAGAATGAAGAAAAAGAAATCATTTAATGAAATTAAAAAATGACTTTTTTTCTAACAAACAAACCATAACAGGACCCATTTTATTATGATGTTCATCCGACATGAGTGGTTTTTGTTGCAATAGACAAATGTGTTCGCTTATAAATGTTTCTTTTCTTCTGCTTGTGTTCTTCTAATAAACAGTTTTATTGGAGACGATAAAGCCGTGATAGGCACAACGAAAAAGGAAAAGAATAGTCTAGATCTAAGCAGTGATTTATGTATTGACAAAGAATAAGTCATTCGTTTATTTTCCTTTTTTTCTCTCTTTGCTTACTATTTCTTTCTACGCAAATAGAATCCTTTGAACTCATAATATAGCAATAATAGCTTTGTTAGATGAGTGCAACTCTTTCAACGATATAGAGAACTGATGAACAAGTTAATAAATAAAAAGAAATATATATATGAATAATCTACGTCAACTATGATAGATGCTTATGAAATATATGAAACTTGTAGAATATATTACGAAAAAAATTGACATAAGTAACAAAAAGATTTTCTTATATCTATGAAGTCAATATAGTATATGCGAAAAACGATGCTTTTGCAATCTCATTTATGTTGACTGTCAGAAATCTTCTTAAATAATTATTTCTTTATTAACTCAATCAATCAAGGTCATTGTTCCGGAATTCTAGTTTAATTAATATCATTTATAAAATAACTCATTACAGTTTTGATTTCCCATAATATTTCTATTCTTCATATTCTTTTTTTTGTTGCTATTGATCATATCAATACTAATATTCATGCATTAACCACTTGCCTTCAAGGACTATTTTATGAGCAAAAAACAAAAACAAAAATCAAATCATTTATTTAGAAAAATATAAAAATTATTCAAATGTCGAAAGATTTATTTCTGGCTCTTAATTTACTTTGTGTTTTAATATTCTAGACACATACTCATCAATTATAAATCAAATACAATTAAGAAAAGCATGAATACATTTGAACTACTACACAAAATAACATATTTTTTATTTATTTTTCAAACAAGAAAAAATGAAGATAAAGTGTAAAATGTTGAATTTCACTGCCTTCAAGTGTAATTAGTGTTGAAACACTTCCTTCAGCACGAAATTAGATTTTTTCTATTTCTCACACTATATTAAATGTTCTCTCGACTTAAAATTGTCGTGCGAAAATTCCCAAATGACAAAAATAAAGTTCCACAAGATATAATAGTTTCGGATAAATGAAGCAAGATTACAGACGAATTGATTTCATCGCTGTTTTTGAAGATATGATTCAGATCGGTTATATTCAAAGAATTATTTAAAATCAATATTTTTATTAATTATTATAAAATCAAAAAAATAAAATACAATATTTATACAAATTTACTATATTTTTTTAAAACTTTCTTCATCGTCCTCTTCATCGACTTCTACATGTCGACGTTTTCTTATCTTCAAAAAACTTTCCCATCGATCGTTTAAATCATCTAACACATCTTCGATATTCCCTGTATTTGTTTTCGTTTTATACATTCGAACTAATATCCATTCGCCATCAGCTGACTTTGATATATCTTTTGGATTATGAATTTTTACATTTCCAACTTGTTCTTTGGCATAAGAAAGTGTTCGTTTAATTTGCTCACTTGTTGAAGGTGTTATCATATTAATACAAACAGATTTTTGCTTTTCTAATGATGTAATATAACCATTGCGGCCAATAAATCGACCACGCTGTTTATCTTTATCAGCTTTAAATACTGGTATTGAATTTGATTTATTGTCAAAGTTATAAGGTAAAAATAGAAATGTTCCATCTTTCAATGGTTTTGGTGGATTTTTTTGCTTTTTAACTAATGATCTATCAGTATTCATTGGCTGACTGTCTTCCGAATCGGAAAACTCAATAGAACTCTGAGTATGAGTTATTGGTAACGGATTTGAAAATGAATTAACTTGATTTTCGTTAATAAAATTTTCTAATCCATTTAATGCTAAAATAAGTTTGGGATTGTTTTGTTTATCTTGATTTATTTGATTAATAAGTTTTTGTAAATTAATCAATTTATCTTTGTCATGTATAAGACAAGATTTTATTACTACGTTATCAATATTGTTACATGTACAACAGCTTTTAGGCATATTTCGTAATAGATTTACAGATATACGTTTTTCATTTCGAAGTTCATTTACAACAGCATGAAATAACGAACGATAACGTGGATTGTGCACTAAGCAAATCATTGTCTGAATATAAGACGAACAAGTATAAGAAGACGAGTTGGAGTAATGATATATATAGATCTATACAAGTTGTGAAATATATAATGACATCACTATAAGCTAGACGCATAATAAATAAACATGAGTCATGAGATATTTCACCATGTTGTGTGACAGAACATGGAAAAAAACCATGTGTGGGATAAATGTAATTTCATAGCAAATTTCTCCGCGATTTGTTATCAACTATTGAGACATTATTGTCTACACAATGTATGAAATTTTTGTAAAATTTAAAATATAAGTCATTATCTGTACTCTATCACAGGAGCGATCAGATATTGGGTTGGTATCTTTGTATAAAAATACAAATAGAAGGTATTCTTTCAACTTTTTGTTAACAAAGAGATGATGTATTAAAAATCTATCAGACTTTTCCAACAGAATCATTTTAATAGTGGAATCTGCACTATTCAAATTACATACTTAGTAGTACTCAATTAATTAGATAGAGTTTGTTCATCAGAGCTGTTAGCGTCTACATCACTTGGATTCATATAGAATTTCATTGACAGATTGACGCCAGTATCAGATTCATTCTCTTACTAAAACAGAGAGTATCACTATATCTTGATATTAAATATTTTTCTATCATCATCATATTATTTCTATTGTGATTTAATTCAATTATTAAATTAATTTTACATATTACATAAAATATATCTAACACACTGGTATCGAACGCCCTCTTTTCTATGAGAGAGGTTAAATAAATTTTTTATGCAATAGTAAAATAATAAGTAAGTGTGTATTATTCATAGATGAACAAATGAATCTAAACGAAGAATTTAATTAAATAAATTTAAAAACAGAAATGCTTCGATTACGTTTTCGTGCATCATGGTTACCAGCTGAACATAATCAATTTTGGACAATTATTGATTTTACAACAACAAATATAATAACAATAAGTGACTTATTAGAATATTTCATTGAACAACAAAAACTTTTTGCTAATTATTATGAATTTCATTTATCAAAACGATCAACAAAATTAAAATATCTTAAAGCATTTGTTAATGATTATGTTTTACCTCCACATGCTCAAGTAAATCAAATTTTACGTGATAATGATGAAATTGAGTAAATGATTTGTTAATATTAAATATATTAATAATTTAGTTTTTTAGCTTTCGTTTAGAAATCGATGCACAAACTGATTGGCTGAGTGTTAAATCACCTCCAACATCGAAAAGAAAACAATCTGTTGAACGCCTAGATATCGATGCACAAACTGATTGGCATAGTAATAAATCACCTCCAATATCGAAAAGAAAACAATCTATTGAACGTCTAGAAATCGATGCACAAACTGAATGGCATAGTATTAAATCACCTCCAATATCGAAAAGAAAACGATCTATTGAACGTGAAATTCCTCGTGCACCTTCTTCTCCTCCTCCCCCTCCTTCATCAAATAGTATTGATGATATTCTTCGAACAATTGCTCAACCATCACCATCATCAACAGATTCACCTGAAACAAATTCATTTTCATTTCAATTTGGTAATAAACGTGGTCGTCCTATTCCACCACGACCACAAGTTATATCAGCTGTTAAAGTAATAAAAAAACATCAACATATTTTTTTTTCATTACATTCTAATCAATAATTATCTTTTTTTTAGATAAATTCATTAGTTCCACGACAAGTTATGAAAAATCGAAAATAAAAAAAAAAGTCATTTCCTTATCGTCATAAATCTTTGTTATTTTTTTCTCAAGAAAAAAGAAAAAACAAAACGCTTTTGGTTTCGGACAAACAAAACAAACATCGATAATAGTAAAAATTCGACGAAGAAAAAAAAGAAAACATTGTCTGGTGCATGTGTAATTGAGAAGAAAAACACAAAGAAAAAACATGAGCAAACAACAGATATGAATAAAACCGATAAGGTTCGTTATACGAAAAGAAAAAAGCGGACAAGTAAAAGAGATATGACTATCGTCTATTTACATTTAAAACAACAAAATCAAAAACCATTCATTGATGTTAAACATTCGCACTAAAATAAGTATATAGAAAGAATTTATTGATATATTTATGAATTTTTCTTCTTAAACTACAGATATGCCATTCTTGACATAAGGAACTTTTAAAAAATCTTATCATTTTATAAGATTATATTATCTCGGAAGTATATCGTATAGTGTCTGATAATAAAATATACATAGTTACGAATCATTCTTTATAATTATATTTATTTATTATTTATAGATAAGTACTACTGAGAAATTAAAATCGATAAATTTTCTTTCAATAAATATCGTAAAGATCTGTTAGAAATAATTAATAATCTAAGAGAGAATTATTTATTTAATTAACATCTATTCTTAATTGCCTATAAAATAAGATTGTCTTAAAATCAAACATACGAAAGTCTTTTTTGTCGACGTGTTGTCGATAAATGAATATTAATTGGATGTTTTCGAGTATTTGGATACGAACGATACGCTGCTGAATGTTTAATCGATACCATTCTGTACAAGAAAAAATATTCAATTAAAAAAATATGTTTATATCATATAACATACGGTGATGTTGCTCTTATAACAACATTTGTATGTGATGACTGATGATTATTGGATGTAGATGTCACAAGGCTACAATTTTCTTTTTCTAATGGTCGTTTCTTTGTTTGTGATGACTCAGACACGCTAAAATAAAAATAACGAAACTAAAGCATTTTATTCTTAAATTACTCGAACATACTTCGCATGCGTGAATTTTGGACGAAGAAATTGTTTTCGAATACCAATAGGTGTTGATATTTCATTTGATACACTAGTAAAAAAAACAACCAGAAAATTCATAAATACAAACTAAATATATATGTATTCTTACATGTGACTATG